TGCTACCCCTGCTTTTTTCTGAGTTCCTGTGGTGTGGAGAACTGTTTTCCATCCTTTTACTTTCAGTCTATGAATTTCTTTTTGAGTTAGATGTGCTTCTTGTATACAGCATATTGCTGGATTTTGCTTCTTAATCCATTCTGCCAGTCTATTTCTTTTGATTGGTGAATTGAGGCCATTAACATTGAGAGTTATAATTGATAGATACTCATTTTTTAATTACTAGAAATTCTGAAACTTTGGTTTTGTTAAACTTTTTTGCCTTGTTGTATATGTTCACAATATATTTTCCATGTCTTAGTCAAGAAAAGTAGAAACTGGTTTGATAGCCAAATTAAAGACCACCAGTGCGGATAGTGCCCAGTTTATGATTGTTTGGCATACAGTTTTTCAACTTTATGATTCTTTGAAAGCAATGCACATTCAACAGTAACTACTTTGAATTTTGAATTTGGATTTTCCCACCAGGCTAGCAATACAGAGCCACCCATTCTGTTTTTTCACTTTGTGTACAATATTTAATAAATTGCATAAGGTATTTGACACTATTACAAAATAGGCTTTGTGCTAAATTATTTTGCCCAGTTGTAGGCTAGTATAAGTATTCTGAGCATGATGACAGACTAGTTTTAGAAATGCTACTAAGTAGTTCAGGTATATTAAATGTATTTTTTGATTTATGATATTTTCAATTTATAATGGGTTCATAACCCCATTGTAAGTTGAAAAAAGATTAATAAAATAATCAAATATATAACTGCTTCAAAGAGACTGAGAATAGAAGTTGGCAAATATTTAAGAATGACAGCTGAAGATGTAGCTCAGTGGCAGTATGTGTGCTTAGCAAACATGAAGTCATAAGTTCAGACCCTGGAAAAAAAGAAAAAAAAAGCACTGGGGACAACGGCAGATTTCATATAGGTTTATTCTTTAGGAAGCATGGACATAGATAGTTACTGTTCATAAACTCATTGGAAATTCTAGGAAGTTTAATGGGAACATTTCTCTAGCAAAGGGAAGGTTTTGCTCTACTTGATGCACTATTA